TACTTTGAATACAGCTTTTGAAAAAGTCCAGGATAGCCATTGACTTTTTGTTTGCTTATTAAACAAGCAGAAAGATTAAAAATGCAAAAGATTTTTGAGGACATTTTAAGAACCTGAAGAGGTTACTCTAAATTACCAGAAAACAGATAATGTCCCAGCAACTTTTATCACTTCTCATCACACATACTCAACAGAAAATTGTAATTGGATTGACAATGTCCTTTCAAGATTTTCATTAACTGCTTTTAAAGGCAAACATTACATATTTAATTCACTTAATGGCAAGGGATCAGGGAACTAGTTATCATGAGGTAAATTAGAGCATGAAGTTAATACATTTATAATCCTTCTACATCAAGCACATAGGGCTCCCTCTTAGCTAAAAAGTAGTAGGCTACGTGGAAACCTACAATCAATACCAAATATGCATTTTTCCTTCAGGTTTACAGACCGAGTCAAAGCTGTTTATCTAGACAGGATATTACTGGAGCCACTCCAGTGAAGAAGGCCAGGAAGAATTAAGTGGGAATACACAGCCCACATGCAGTTATCTACTTACAGTCATCAATGCTGCTTCCTCCGTTCCCGCATTCCTTGTTGTACAACCGAATCCCTGTGACTAGCATGGCAAGATTTCTCAGCTGTTGCTCTTTGTTCTTCTTACTGAGTGAGATGAAAGTCACCATTTCTGTCTGGGGGAACACACTCTGCAGGGCAGCTGTAAGAATTACAATGGGTGAGAAGATCCTCAAAATATGAGGTAAAAATACCCTCTCCTGAACAACTGCAAAAAGTAGAAAATCCATGGCAAATTTAGACTTCAAGGCTGAGCAGTGACAGTGTGGGTAGTGAGCATTCATCACAGTGTACCACAGCTGTATCTAAAGATCAGCAAAGAGAAGGTGAAATTTTACTTTTTTTTTACAAGAAAAGCCCAATTTCACAGCTGGGAGTTTACTGACCTGTTACCTCCCTGACAACCTCAATATCTGTTGGGGATCCCAGGCCAGAGCTCAGCAGCACATAGCTAACAATCTTGCGATACACATTCTCCATTTCTTCTTGCACATGAGGCCGACTATCTGTGATATCTCTGATCACAGGAGCCAGCCTTGCCTCCAGAATACGATGCTGCTCACTGAGTAATTCAACTAGGAAAGAAGGACAGTTAGAAAGTGCTATCTCAGTTCCTTGGAATTTGGCTTGTACAGATGGTGCAATTCATTTCCACAGTTAAGAGCACCAACATAAGGTTTCTGCATCACAGATATGTGGAAGAGATGTTCAAGGTACCATACCGTTATAATTAACAACACTGGAGTTAAACATTAACATATTTAGCATGACTAACATCAGTCTGTAGAGTTCAGAAAACTATTCAGGCCAAATTAAGCAGCAAATCTCTGGCTCTCTGGACTCCTCTGACTGCAGCAGGACCTAACACACACACACACACACATCATACACACCTGAAGTTGCATGCTCAAATCTGAACACTACCCAGGATCTCAGAATCTTACTGGACTTGCTGAGCTTACTGAGTCCAGAAGACTTTGGAACAGCTTCCTAGTGTTGCTAATTTTTTGTTTTAATCCATGCTAACAAGAAAACTTTTTCATGACCTCTGGACACAGAAATGTTTATTTTTTGTCTACTCATGTTCTGTGTCTTCTGCTTCCCAGCCAGCCCTCACTGTCCCATTGTGATCTGAAGTTACAGCTACATCAGAGATATTGTCCCCATCTCATTTTTCTTCCACATTCCCATTCTCAGACCATATAAAGTTACCACTGATGAGAACAAAACATACTCAGTTGAAACTGTAACTGATTGTTCAAGATTGTTCATATCTCTCAATTAGGGATAGTGATAAAACATCAAGTTCTCTTTCAGATACAAGTGCAGCTCTGGGTACTGGTTCTCTTTCAGATACACAGGGGCAGTGCAAGTTTTTCTTGCTGAAGGCAGCTTACCCCCTGCACCCAAAAGCATAATTGTTCTCAAGTGATCTAGTAAATCTGTCAGACAGGATGAGTGTACTGTCAAATCTAATGTACATTTTTTCCCTACTATATCATACTGAAACACCATACTCCTATATAGTCCATTTCTCCAGGGATTTTTATTTTGCTTTACTGCCAGCAGACATTTAATGGGAATCATTACTAGCCCTAAAGAGAGAGAGAGAGATTAAATCCCATACTCAGGACCAACTTCTATGAAAACACATTTGAAATTACCTCGGTTTGCATAGTTCATATCAAAGTACACTTGCATCTTAATTGTGCTCAGGGATGGGTTTGTTGTGTCAAGCAGCTTGGTAACACAGAGCTGAGAAGAGAGACAGAGAAGTGAGTTCTTTCTCATCACTGGGAAAACGTCTGAACTCGGTGCCTATGCTACAGGTTTCACAACAGGCCCCCTCCCTCCTATTCTCTCGATGTACTATGAACACTATGAAGTATACCGCATATTTTTACAGGAGGAAACACAGACCAGTCTTTAGGTACAGAACAATGAGAATAAAGTATCATTAAGATTTTGAAAGTGTTCATATCAAAATAAAATGTCATTTTAGTTACAGGAACAGGTAGCAAATAATATTATAGTCTTAGCTAAGTACTGGCTTTCAACCTCATGTCAGATTACCTGGATAAGATTTTGCACATCATTTTTTGCCAGGATTCGATCCACATTAAAGTCATTTCTTGGATCTAAAACAACAGCTTTCACCTAGAGATTGTCAAAAGAAAGCTATTAATTTATATCTCAGCATATACATACAGGGAAATATGTGCATGTTTGCAACTGGCATGCATGCTGGGTATCTTGCCAGCCCCATGCAAAAGTTTTTTGTCCATGAAAATTTTCATGCTTACAATTAATATTGCTTTTGATCCTAATGTATTCTTCAAAGGCATGGTGTCACCTTTAGGAAAAAAATGGAAAACTAACAGTACTGCTGTGAACCATTTACATTCATATACAACTTTATCAAGAGCTGATTCTGTTCTTATGCCATCGATAAAGAAAGAAACTAGCTCCATCTTTTTGCAGACATAGATTTGCAGATGCATTCAGACTATATTCTACAGTGGTGCTGCGTCTCCTAAGATGAGATAACAAAGCGTATAATGGTTTTTAAGATACTTATAGTTGTCTATCAAGGCCAACACTGAGACTGATTCTATTTCACTTTTAGTTTAAATGGGATCCAAGCCCACTCCTTCAAATATTCAGCCCATTCATACTACCTGTCTCTGCCTAAACAGAGAAACAAACAAATCCATCACAATAGAGGGAAGAGGTAAACGGCAAAGAATAAATACAGCTGCTGCAATAAACATTCACCTATGTGTCATGCCTTTTGTTAATTTATGTTATTGGGAAGAAATGTTATTAAAACTTGGGAGCACTTCTCTTTTTCACTTTAGAAAGGGAGAAAAAAAAAGGTTTATCTGCTTTTAGAAGAAAACTGAGGAAGAACTCTTGAGTCGGAGTTTAAAGACTCTTCCAGACTGAGGACCTGCAGCCCTTTCAGAGCCTTGTATTTGTATAGATAGCATTTCAGAGGAATGAAATACTTTTTTCAGGTTTTTAGGACCCTCTACTGAATATCACTGAACATCCCTTTAAAATTTCCCAGTGTAGGCAATCAGAAACCCGTTTCAAAGTTCAAGTCACCCCTGAAAGCCTCGGCTGTTACCATCCCAGCCTGGGCAGGCTGCCTTGGAGCTGCCATTTGAAGCCTGATGACTTTTAAGACCAAAGGAATGATTTCTAGCCTCACCTCATGTCATTCAGTCTGAGTAGTGTCAGTCAGTGACTTCAGGGGAACTATTCACCATGAATAAAATGAAACGCCTAACTCACAAAAGTCTTAAGAACCAGTTTGAACTGCCAAGCTATGAGCATCCAGGTTTGACCAGGTTACATCAAGTAACAAGCGACTTCAGGACAAGAGGAAATGGCTTCAAGTTGCACCAGGGGAAGTTTACATTGGATATTAGGAAGAATTTCTTTACTGAAAGGGTTATCAGGCATTGGAATGGGTTGCCCGGGGCAGTGGTGGAGTCCCCATCCCTGGAGGTATTTCAGAGTCAGTGCAGACACAGTGCTGAGGGAGGGACATGGTTTAGTGGAGGACCTGTCAGTGTGACATTAATGACTGGCTTGATGATCTTAAAGGTCTTTTCCAGTCTAGGCAATTCTGTGAAACTTCCAATCTATATGCTATCAATACATATTTATCTTAATATTTTATGGGTGGAATTTGAATGTGATTCGAAAACCACCCAGATTAAATAACAACAAACAAACCACCCTAAACACGTAATTTTGCACTTACCACGAACGCCACCAAGGTTTCAGAAACAGTTTGTCCCTGGGCAGCGCATTCTTGCCCGACTTCACGAATTATTTTCTTGATGACACTTTCGTTCTGGTCACAAGACATACTGGACAAACACACACGTTAACGGGATTAACCTTCATGAGACACTTCGGGTGCGTCTTCCAACCTTTCTCCCCGAGCGGCTGAGGGGGCCCTGCTCTCTCCCCCGCTGCCGCCGGCGGCCCGCAGCTCCCACGCCGCTTCTCGGGGAACACCCCTCCCGACCCCGCAGCGCTCCCACCGCCCTGGGCACCCCCAAAACGCCCCTCTTTCACCTGCCCCCCCTCTCCCAGTCCTGGCCCCGGCGGCAAACGGGGAGCGCGGCCCGCAAACGAGCGCCAGCCGCCCGCCGTTGCCATGGGGACGCGGCCTGGCTCGGCCGCGCAGGGGCCGCCGGGCAGAGCGGTGTAGATAGAGGTGCACATATGGGTGTGTATGTGCACGTATAGGGACCTGTTTGTGCACACAAAACATGTACTCACATACTGCACAGAGGTGCATGTAGAGAAATACCTGTTCAAATAGAATATAAATGTGTATGTACATGCAAAACGTACATATATATATACACACACACATATGCACCTGTGTATATACAAAACAAATATATAGAGGCAAAGAAACATATTTATATGTTAAACATACATAAACATCTACATGTGCATACAAACCATGTATGTGGACATCTAAGGCTGTATCTAGGCATGCATGAATATACATACATAAGTATAAACATGTATTCACACCATACATAAGTATATGTACCTAAATATATACTCATATGTACAATATATATGTATAGGAAGAATGTGTATATGGATGTATGTGTAAAACATACACAGGGATATGCAAGTATATTTATATACACATAAACATGTATGTGTATATAGAAAAGGAAGAAGTATACATGTATATATGCATACATATGTATATATACATAAATATACGTGTGCATACATATGTATATATACATATACGTGTGCATACATACACATACATATGTGTATACACACATGCATATGTGTGCATACATACACATACATATGTGTATAAATTACATGCATATGTACATATACATGCATATGCAAAATACCACATAGGCATTTTTGTATTAGAAGGACTATGTTGAAATGTGCAGTTACACACAATATTTGACCCAAATGGCAAATCCAGGTCTAGATCATCACCAGTCAGGTATTTCCTTGTGTTTACTTATTTATATTTTAGCAGCAGAATGACCGTGTTTTCAAATCTGAATAAAAATGCTGCCCCTTTTCCAAATGTAAATTCAAAGGGGTTGTATACCAAAGAAAGGTCACACTTTCTTCTCTGGGAAATTAAAGCAGCGTCCAACCCTGAAGTCACCCAGATCCAAAATAATTTCCAAATGTAAATTCAAAGGGGTTGTATACTAAAGAAAGGTCACAATTTCTTCTCTGGGAAATTAAAGCAGTGTCCAACCCTGAAGTCACCCAGATCCAAAAATATACTGCAGGCACAAGTTAAGAAAAATGACAGGGATATGACCCACAAGTGCACCAGGCTCTAACCTTGTGCCAAAATTTGTACACTGGGTTTTAGATATTTTCATTTTGCAAACTATTAAACTGCTTCATCAGATAAAGTGGAAAGGTCGAATACAAATGTTTGTACATATACATGCATATGCAAAACATACTCAGGTATCTTCCAAAGGAGCTTGTGAGGGTAGGAGGAGGCAGGAAGAGCAGCAGGAACAGCTTTTCGACTTGTTTCTTTGTATATTCTCTATTTTCAGCTCCTAGGGCTTGGGCTGCCGGCGGCAGCAGGGCAGGGCAGCCTGGCAGAGGTGGTGTGGCAGGTGGACAGGAC